CACTCCACCCTCCAGGGGCTAGATGACACAAGATTCAAACGTACAAGATTATAAAGATTAAAAGATTACAAGGTTCAAAATGACTAGTAAACTGAAGATGTATAGGATCGCTATTTACTCCCTCCTCAATAGCGCTTACCAACAGTGGTTGCTATCGCACGCGCGCTAATTCACACAAGTCCGCGCATGGAGAACTGACACGAACACTACCCGCAATCTGCTGCTAGTGACGGCTGTCGTTACTTCCAGTGACTCCTCCAGCTGAGTAACAATGACAACAATCAGGGTGTGCAGTGCCGTTAGGGGAAATTTCTGCAAAATACTTCCTTCCACTCAAAATTTCCTCTTCTGGTACAAACTCCCCGCAGCTCTCGCCGAATCCTATCTACTCTCTCTGAAATCTCCCAACTTCCAACTTTTTTTCTAGTTTTCCCCAAAGGTCTCCCGTCTCCTCCCAAATTGCCGTCGAGCGGGTAGAGGTCAGTGGCATGTAGCGCACTTTAATCAGGAAAAAAAAGGAATGTAAACAATCTGAAAACACTTTCCACCAAGGCGAATACGCCCCCTCTCCCCAGCGACCAAATGCGATCCCTCTGCCAACTCGCTGGGATTCCCTGCGCACGATATGCCCTGACAGCAATAGCAGTCTGCACTGCGTCAAGCCGTAGTCATAGTCTGACAATTTTTTGGCTTTTGCATGACCGCGTGCAGATATCCGTGCAATGTGAACGAAACCAGCCACCCATTAATACGGTTTATTAGTATGGTCGAGCGAAGACTGTCCGGATAGACAGAGCTTATGTAAGACAGGAATCGGTCCATAACTGAGGATCCATCAAACTCGAATTTAGAATCTTTCTTCAAAACTTCTTCAAAACTGGTCTATGAAATTTCGTGCTGGACCTTGCTAAATGATGACAAGGCGCTTAAACGTTCTACATTCAAACTAGGGTGCCCAAAAGGATCAGAAAAGTGAGCCTGCGCTTGGAGACACATAGTGGATACCTCTCGATTGTACATAGTGGATATCGACGTTCAATTAGAAACCTACAGTGCTGAATGACCTTGTACGGAAGAAAAAAGTAAAAAAAATCCGTGGAGAACACCTTAAGTGAGAAGTTGGCAGCCCTTTAGGACGAATTCTCCGGACCTGCTCATTTTACGCCAGCTAAGGGATATCCTGCCGAGTTCGGCTCGTTTCTTCGATCTAATACCATCTAACCGCAGGAAAAAAAAACGGGAAACGCGGTGTAAAAACAGAACTCGCGACAGGAAATAGTCTTTCAGTTTCGATGGGCAGAGCAACTGGTGAGGTGTCAGAACTGTCATTATGCTATGAGGGCCACAGCGCCTTCGCTACTTACTGTGAAGCAGCAAAAGCCAGGGTAAAGAGGTTGAGGACCAGACTACTCGTACTAAGGAGGACACTTACGAATTGCTTATGCGCGCGGACTGTCTTTAAGGAGTCAAACAGCGAAATAAGCGGATTAAGCAGCTAACGAAAAGATAAGATATATCGATTGTGTGTCGCCGTCCACCAAACGTTCCAAAAAACGCAGAAACCGCGACTTCGTGAAAACGAGTAGAGAGATGATCTTATAGAAAAATTGCAGTCCACCACTTCTACGTGAAATCT